AGTTGCACCGGAATCAATAACCCAAGAAGTAGAGTCAATAGAGCTAGTTGCACTAAAGGTAGAGACTGTACCTGATCTGGCAAGAGAGGTGGAAGCAAAAGAATTATTCCTTAGACAGGCTAATGCCCGGCTAAGGACCTCTACCTCACTAGCAGTGAAGCCCAAAGCACCAGCTCCAAAGGAATCAGCAACCTGCCCCATAGGAGAAGAAGACACTGTTGGTGTATTCTGTGAGTTGTCAACATTGTTGCTGGTGACAAGATTCCCACTTGCCACATGACCTTTATGTTGCTTCTTGTCATTTCTCAATGCAGCTGGCTTCAGGTGAGGATACAGGACCCAACACTTTTTCTTTTACATGTCTCTCACCACCACAATGAGTGCACTTAAGGTGCTTCTTGTTCAGTTGGTTGAGTCTGAGAGTCAACTTGCATCTCCTTTCTCCTKACTTCTTCATTCCTCACAAGATAATAAACATGGTGTAACTTGGGCAATTCATCTCTCCCTAGAATTTGTGACCTTATACCCTCATACACTGGGTCCAGGCCAGCYAAGAACTTAAAGGCTYTGCTCTCTTCAATCTGCTTATCATGTCTCTCCTTGTCCCTGGCATTTTCCCAATCCAATATCAAGTGATGGTCAGGTTCTTCCCAAAGACCTTCTAGAGTTGCAAAGTATGTTGAAACTGTCATATCCTCTTGCCTTAAGGCAGCAATGTCTTGATTCAATCTGTAGATTCTAGCATTGGTTTTCTTCTGTCCATAGGTCTTAGACACCTTTTCCCAAATCTTGGCTGCTGTAGGAAAGTGATGAACAGTCCTGGCAACCCGAGGAGTCATAGAGGCAAGCAACCAGGACATAACTGTGGCATTCTCCTTGCGCCACACAGCATACTCTGCACTGCCAACCTCAGGTTCCTTCTTGTTCCCATCTAAGTAGCCTGTGAGATCACGGGAAGTAATAAAAAGCATTGCAGAAACGGACCACTCCCTAAAGTTGTATTCATCCAGCAGCACACTTGTAATCTGCAAGCTGTGCAGATTAGGGTTTTCCAGATTTGAAGACCTTGCAGCAGGTCTGTTATCCGTAGAAGAAACCTCTCCGGATATTGAAGACATCTTGACTGCAGCCTCTGTGTAGATGGCACTGTTTAAGACTAGCCGAAGTGATCACAGTGCTGAAAAATTGAGTAGTTGTAGGATTGAAGAAGGTTCTGACAGCTTGCAACACTGTTTCAGACTTGCCGAGACTGTCAAGCTCTGAAGCAGTTCAGTTATAGCAGCAAATGAGGTGTTCTGGGCTGGTAACCGACCTGAAACTGAGGGCTCTCTACCACTGTGCTATGCAGACTTCACTCGAGCTTCGAGTACTGCAACTGTAAAGAGAGTTCTTCCCCTTACGGCCAATACTAGGACTGCTGAAATCAGTCCTCAAGACAGACCTCTCTTAATAGCCGAATAGCTACTAACTACTGGAAACAGTCTAGTAGGACATCAGCTTCTGGGTCTTACTTCCCTTGCGCCCTACAACCAAGGGAAACCCTAGGTTCAAACCTTGTGTTGTTCTTCTACAACCCTAGGGTTTCACGGCAGCAACCTAGATAAAAAAAATAGAAAAGAAAGACAGCAAGAGAGAAGAGATGGCGTTGGCTGTAACCAGGAAGGTGCTTAATGCTCTGATACCATGAAAGCTGAAATGCTGTAGCCGAAGCAGTAGAAGAGTGGAGAAAACCAAGAGATGCTGAGAATGTCGAACTGAATGACCCAGTCGACAGTACTATTATTTATATTAGAGTACAGTACAATGTTACAGGAAATGACTGGAATGCCCCTGATTAGTGATGGGACACCCAGACAACTTAAAACACTGAACAAACTTAGGCCCATTAGCACAGGCCCAGTACATAACAACTTAAACTCAAATACAGGTTAATAAGAACTCTTATCAGCCGAACCATTAATACATTAAAAACCTTCAACCTAACAATTGGTTCTCTCCTTTTGGGCTGGCTATTGTTTTATCCTGAGTTTCAAAGACGTATCTTGGTCTTCTGGGTCTGGAATGGTTAGTCTTAGAAATTGCTGACAATGAGGCTTTGTAACGTTTATTTTGCCCGTGTACTGTTTTGGATCTGCCTTTGGTTGAGTTAGATCTCAACTTATTGCAGATTGTAGTTGTTTTGATTTTAATAATTTTCTTTTTATTTGTTATCAAAAAAGAAAAAAAAGACTAGGGTGTTAAATCAGCAACATATTTTTTATTGTCAGTGTATACCATATTGATTAGGTATGTTCGCCAACCTGTAAGGAAAGGAAAAGGGAGAAAAAGGAGGAAAGAAGAGATATGAAGAAAGGGAGGATAAGTCAAGAGAACAATCAGTTTCTCTCTCTTGACAGCCGACCCTTTATATACTTCTATTCATTACTGTCAAAAATTACAGCTGGTTGACTGTTAACAATAACAGTCAACCAACAATAGTAAAAACATCAGGAAAAAGAACAAATCTACTTTAGCATGGTAAAAGACTAGGGTGCCATTTGGTTGGGCTTTCTAAAAAGTCTTTTAGGCTTTCAAAAATCAAAGTAGAGCTTGGGAAGCTTGTTTGGTGAATTTGCTCTCCAAACCCTCATCTTTGGGCTCATGACAATGGAAAATTATCAAAGGGTGGCTTTGAGTTGTCTTGTAGATGGCAGTCAGAAGAATTAGAAAAATTTCTACTCATCAAAAAGAAAAAAAAAGAATTAGAAAAATTTCCAGCTTTTAGAATGGAAGCTCAAAACTGGAAATTAGAAAAATCTATTTGTCTGTGGCCCTCAAAGAAACGTCTCTCAACCAAGTTGTATGACAGACTATACAAGCCTCTATTATCAAGATATTAACAAAGAAACAGAATAACTTTATCAAAAAATCTGTTAAGGCTGCTATCTTGGCCCAAGAAATTGTCCATGCAAATAAGTGCATAATGAATTTCTCTGCTGGTTATGTAGCTAGATCTATTTGTATAGGGACTTCTATTACTGGCTTGTGTTATCTGCCCTTGTGACTTGTGACACAAAAATAAATAGATAAATAAATCCCTACGTATGTTGGAATGGTTTGTCTGCATGTACATGTAAAAATTTCAGCCACATTCCCATAACATTGAGAAGAATCAAAAGATTTTTTATGCATTGAACAGTTGAGAAGGTCCACCATTTTGAACAATTTGGTGACTCAAATGTAGGACAAATATAGATGTTGTCGAACAAGAGCTGTCAAGGGCAAAGAAGGATGAGATCCAGTATTTGACTAGCATGCTGGACACAGTGAGTAATTTGAATTTTGTATACAATACTTTCATTTCTAAATATCTCTTTTGTGAAGTTTCCTATGTTACATGGACATTTCAAAATGGGTGATTTATCCATGTCAAGTCAAGCATGTGTGGATAATAACACCAGCACAACATTTGAAGGGACTTCTTTTTCTCACATCTATAATATGTGACTTAAGGAATCTCAAACTGTTAAGGATAGGGCTGCAAATGATATCCCATTGTCTGACTTTGAATTTGAATTCGACCCCATTAAGGCTGATCCAAATTCAATCCATTTATAATTGGATCAAATATGGGTCCTCCCCTATCCAATCTGATTCAATTTAATGTATATACTCATATATACTTAAAATTTATATTGTATCTATTAGTAAAGATAGTTTGAATGTTGTGTTTTTTACTAATTTTTCACCGATTCAAGTTTCATGTAAGTAATTTTCATTTCATTTTGTTAATGAAATACAATATCAAAGCCATTTTAGTCTATTTTATTAATATTTTGATAATTTTAGTTTAATTTGCTTATACTATTCAATATCCAATTACAATCCAAATTCAATTTGAATCCAATGGAAAAGATCTGATTCAGATTCGAATATGAATGAATCAAATTTGATCTACCTATCTGATTCAATCCAATCTGTTTGCAGCCCTATGGTAAGGGTAAAATCTTAACAAAAATAGTAAATTTGTGATAGGGCTGAAAACAGATCAAATCTAATCAGATATAGGAGATGCGAATTTGTCCTTCAAATCTGATTACAGTGGTAAAAGAAAAAGGAAAAAGGTGATTACAGCCGAAGGAAGAAGAAGATGGAGAAGAAGAGAAAGGAGAAGAGAGTTCGATGGTTTCATCCTCTCTCTCTTGATCTTTTATTAGACTCACTTAACTATGACTAATTACATCTCTGCCCTTAAGTAGGCAGCCAGCACATAAATAACTTAAACAAAAACAATCATAACGAAAAAGGCCCAACACATAAAATGTAAACACGATGCTACTTAAAACATAAACAAGTACTAGGGCCCATTCGGCCCAATCTCTCTAGTCTCTACACTCCCCCTCAAGCTGAGCATAGATGTCAATCATGCCCAGCTTGCTTATATAGTGAGTCAATTTTCCTTTTGGAACACCCTTAGTCAAGACATCAGCCAACTACTCCTCTGAAGCAATAATGGCAAGCAAACTTCCCCTGAAGCAACTCTTTCCCATATAAAGTGTCTATCGACCTCTATGTGCTTAGTTCTAGCATGCTAGATGGGATTATGTGCAATGTTGATATCTGCATGATTGTCACAATAGAGCACCATTAGCTTCTCATAGTCAATAGCCAACTCTCCCAAAAGTGATCTCAGCCACAATAATTCTGACACTCCATGTGCTATTGCCCTGTACTTTGCTTCAGTTGAAGATCTGGCTACTACAAACTACTTCTTACTTCTCCATGAGACAATGTTCCCCACTACCAAAGTATAGTATCCTGAGATGCATCTCCTATCTTCAATACATCCGACCTAGTTAGCATTAGTGTATTCTTCCAACTTCATGTGTCCATGCTTGGCAAATAGGATACCTTTCCTTGGAGTGCCTTTCAAGTAATATAAAACTCTTTYTGCAGTTGCTAAATGTGTTTCTCTAGGAGAATGCATAAACTGACTAATGACACTCACTACATAGGAAATATCTGGCCGAGTAATACAAAGATATAGAAACTTCCCAAGCAGTCTCTGGAACACTCCCTTATCGAACAACAATTCACCCTTAGTAGCAGAAAGCTTGTGATTTAAGTCTATAGGGGTGGAGGTCAGTTTAGCACCAAGTTTTTCAGTCTTTGCAAGAAGATCAAGGACATACTTGCATTGAGAAATGAAGATACCGTCCTTAGACCTAGCAACTTCAATTCCCAAGAAATATCTAAGATCCCCCAGATCTTTGATCTCAAACTCAGTGTTAAGAAACTTTTTGAGCTTAACCACTTCTTGGGTGTCATTACCAGTAACCACAATGTCATCAACATAAACAATCAAAGAGGTGACGAGCGCCTAGGTGATGCCTAGGTGTTAAGAAACCTTTCCTTCACATCCTATTGTTAAAAGGTGGTACCAAAGACAAAGACTCAGGTATGGTTGGTGACCAAGGAATTACTTCTCTTCACAAATAAAGTATGATCAGATTAAGTTTGTGTGTAACCAAAAGAAACAAGGGAAACTCTGAATCTCTTAAACCAAGCTCTAGGAGATTGTTTGAGACCATAAAGGGATTTCTTCAATTTACACACCTTCCCTTGCATTTCCTTCCTATACACTCCTAGAAGTAAAGACATATAAACCTCTTTATGTAGGTCTCCATTCAAAAAGACATTTTTAATATCAAATTGATGAAAGGGCCAATCAAAGGTTGCAAGTAGAGATAACAGAACTCGAACTGAAGTCATTTTAGCCACAGGAGCAAAGGTCTCAAGGTAATCAATACCATACATCTGAGTGTAGCCTTTAGCAACCAGTCGAACCTTAAACCTCTCAATAATGCCATCAGAATGGCTAGAGATAACATAACTCGAGTTGAAGTCATTTTAGCCACAAGAGCAAATGTCTCAAGGTAATTAATACCATACATCTAAGTGTAGCCTTTAGCAACCAATCGAGCCTTAAACCTCTCAATAGTACCATCAAAATGATACTTGATAGTGAATACCCATTTACAACCAACCGGCTCCTTCCCCTCAGRCAGGTCCACAATATCCTAGGTATGGTTTTTATACAAAGTATCTAGCTCAGTCATCATAGCATCCCTTCATTTTGGTTTTGATAAGACTTCTGGTACGAACCTGAGAATCACACGTGTAGAAATGGAGGCAAAGAAAGAATAATAGGTTGGGGAAAGAAGGTTGTAGGACAAGTGTTTGGAGATACAATGTGTTGTACACTTTTGCTCTCCTTTGTGAAGGGCAATAGGAAGTTCAAGGTCTAGAAAGCTAACAGACGGGTCAATGGAAGGCTGACCTGTGACATCAATAGTGATGGGTGGTGTAGGAGGCTCTATTGAAGGAGTTGAAACAACTTGCCCAAACTTGAGTCATTGTCTTTGGCACTATCTTTGAACAATAGGATGTGAAGGAAACACGAAAAGATGAGCAGGAGGAGGAAGGGGAGCAGTAACATGTGAAGGGGACACAGTGGGTGGTGCAACAGAAGTAGATGACTCCATAGAAGACTCAATGGGAATTGGAAGAGGAATAGCCAAGGTCATAGCAAACAGCTCCTTGGAGTGCTCCCCCTTAGGAGAAATACAAAAAATAGGAATAGACACACCAAATGTAACATTCCTGGAGACAAAACGGGTACCACGAACCAGATCAAAACAACAATACCACTTCTGTGTGGAGGCATATCTTAGGAAGACATACTTGTGTGCCTTAGGCTCAAATTTGTGTCTCTAATGGTTCTGAACATGCACATAATATGTGCCAAAAGCTTGGGGAGGAAGAGAGAAGAGGTCCTCATCTGGAAAGAGAAGGCTAAAAGGGGTTTTGAAACCTAGAACCCGGGAAGGCATATGGTTAATTATGTAGCAATAAGGACAACATCCCCCCAAAACGTTTTAGGAACATGAGATGCAAAAAGGAGGCTTCTAGCAACCTCAACCACATGGCAGTTCTTCCTTTCTGCCACTCCATTCTGTTGTGGAGTGTAGGAACAAGGACTCTGATGGATGACCCCAAAGGCATCAAAGCAGGATGAAAGGTTCTTCTCAAAATATTCCTTAGCATTATCTAACCGGAATATTTTGATCTAAGTGTTCAATTGGGTAAGATGAATCCATGAAACTGTTAGACAGTGTATGCCCTTAGCTCCAATCAGAATGATGTACATTATGACATTTAATGTAAATGAATAAAGTACATATTTGATTCATGTTATTATGGTGTGT